CATGAATATTGATTACCCTATCTTCATTCATTTTTTTTCTTCTAGACAGTAGTAATAGTGGTAGTGGCTCAGTTGTATTAATGCAACCTAAACTAGAACCACAACCGGTTGTCTTTGATCAACAACAACAGCAACAACAACAACAGTCAAAAATGGTACCTATAGTTTCTCGTTATGATTCTCAACAACAGTGTTCAACAAATGGTAGTGCATATACTTGTTCAAATTGTACACAACCTATTCATGAACGTTATTTATTATATACACAAGATCGTTTATGTCGTGGAAATTATTGGCATATGCAATGTTTACGTTGTCAATGTTGTGATGCTGTTTTAGCTGATATATCTTCAACATTTTATACCAAAGATAATGCCCTACTTTGCAAGTCTGATTATATTAAGTAAGATAATGATATAAAATAAAATAAAATAATATCTTGTTGTTAAAAAAAAAAAAAAAGAAAAAGGTTTCTGAGATTCAATGTATGTTCAATAAGTCAACAATCAAGAAAAAGGATTCTTCTTTTGTTTAAAATGAATAGAAATTCAAAGTACTCCTCCTTATATCAACATAAGAGAAACCTTTTATAAGGAGTTTCTAGTTGAAAGAAAAGAGAACGAGCTTTTTCAATTAAAAGAAATCTTATTAATTAAATATTCATTATTCAACTATCTGTACTTGAAACTCAGGCATCAAAACAAAAAGAAAATAATTGATTTATATTAATGATTAATAATAAATATTTTTCTTTTTTTTTTTTTAGAAGATATGGTAGTCGTCCATGTTCATTATGTAGTCAAGTTATTGGACCAAATGAACAAGTTATGCGTGTTAGTCCAAATTATGTTTATCATCTTCATTGTTTTACTTGTATTAAATGTCATGCACGTTTAGTTAAAGGTGATCGTTATGTTTTTTTTAATGGACAGTTATATTGCGAAAAAGATAATCCACTTAAATCAACAACAAATACAAGTAATAGTCCAGCATCAAAACGTGGTACTAATACTAGTAAACGTGGTGCAAAAGCAGCTAATGCTGCTGCATCACGTGCTGCTGCAGCGGCTGCTGCATCACGTGCTGCTGCAGCGGCTGCTGCTGCTGCTGCTGCTCAAGTTCAACAACAAACATTCGCAACACCATCACCACAAATACATCATCAATATCATCCTTCAACACATACGGGACACTTGACACTATTAAATAATCATCATATACATTCGTCAACATCATCGTCATCAACAACAAATACAATAACACAGTCGTTGCTCAATAATAATAATAATACGAATAGCAACGGTTCATCATCATTGGCAACGCCAAGTGGTGATGAACTATATTAGAATTTTTCTATGTTTAATTTTGTTTTTTTTCTCTTTTTCGTGTTGTGGTATAGAGAATGAATCCTTGTCTTTTTCTATGCACACTTGTTGCCTAATTGTTTATTTCATGTTCTTTCTTTCTTTCTTTCTTTCTTTCTCCTGTGTTTATATCTTTTCTAACTGTTAAAAAACAAGAGAAACTAAACAGAGATATATTTAAAAAAAGACAAAGACGAGAGAGAATTTTATTGATATAAATAGAATTACAGAAAATGAAATCAATAATAGGAAAAGTTCATATGATAGATGAAGAGTTTGTTTCATTATGAAGTTTTTCTATTGTTCGTTCATTAGAATATAATGTTTATGTAATCAGATAATTATAATTATATACACGAAATAATTCTATTCATCTATTCATCATTCAAAAGCTGTCATCTTGACATTTTTTTTCCTCCTTCCTATTCTTTTCCTATGTATCTCCATTATTTATTCTATTTTAACCGAACAATCTTCAAGTATTTTGCATTGTTAATAAGTTCCTCAATTATTTCCATCAGTCCATCTTTCATAAATATTTTTTTGAAGACATCTATATATATAAATATAATAATGAATTATTTTAATAGAGAAAAAAAATAATCCATTTTCATAGTAACTGTAAGTTAATTAAAGAATTTTAAAACGAAATAATGTAAATAAACTTTTATTCAATATAATGATTAAATATAAAAATTATTCTAAATCTATTTGAAATGTTCAATCATAAGAAGATTAGACAAAGAGTAAACTATTCATTAATGCTTTTGGATTTGTTAGTTGGTAGATAAAATTTCAGTTTTAATTTGACTTACAACAAATGAGTACTTTAAAAAAAAAGCAAAAACTTAGGTTGTCATAATTAGAACTTAGTTTTAAGATCAATAATCACAATGCTAGAAATGATTGAATGATCTAAATCTATTCTCTTATTATCAATAACAAAAGAATATCTACCAGTTGTTCTACAAAAATCAAATGAACTATTCATTACTAAAGAATAAAAAATTAAATATTTCTCTTGTGTATACTATTCACAATCTCAAAAAAAAAAAATCAATGACTATAATCATTATCATTCGTTCAATCAAATGTCTGATTTCACTACATGGAAATTCAATCCAAAAGAAAAAAGTTCTTGTCATCTTCTATCATAAGAATTTCTACAATCTACATTGAGAAAGAAAATCACAGACCATGAGTTTTCTTTTTTTTCTATATGGTAATAACTGTCACATTTGCATAGTGTAATTTCCGACGTTTTTATTTATATAAATAAATTCTACCTGTAATATATTATTGAAGAATTCTTAGATTAATTATTATTCATGAGTAACAATTTTCATTTTAGTTCTAGCGGAAAAAAGAAGATACATGAATAAGAAAAAATATGCATTCACATATATTATAGCCTTGAAAGATTTAATTAAATTAATTTTGTAGAAAAAAACAAAGGCTAGCATTTATTTGAGTAATTTTATATTATTAAATGTACAATAATTAATTCATTAAGCAGTAGTAATTTCATATTTTAGCAATAAAACAAAGATAAACTACATTAGTTTATATGAATTAGAGAAATAATAAAGTTATTTATAATTGAAAAAAAAAAGAAAAGTGAAAAAAAAACAGTATACTATTGTGTGAATAAAGCTTTTTTTGCTTTAGATAGTCTGCCTCCTTTTTTTATATTTTATTTTGTAAAATTGAAAAAATACTTATTTGCATATATAAATGAATTCATATTACCCTTTGTTAACCGGTGATTGATCTAACACATCAATACTGAACTACTATTTTAATGAAGAAATGGTAATTATATATATATATATATATGAATGAGCTAGGAAAAAACCGGACACCCTACGAAGAAAGCATGACGAAGAAGAAAATATACCTGAACAACATCAAGACAAGAGAAATATCCAAGTAAGGGAAAGGAAAGAAGAGAGAAAGAAAACAAAAGATATATGCATATATTGGAGTTGATTTTAAAATTCGGTCCCCTTTTAAAGGCGACTAGTTGAATTTAAAAGGCAATTAGTTGATTTTGAAATATTTTAAAGTCAGCTCCGACATATATGTGTCGTACTTGTCATCTGTACGACATCGTAGGAGAGAAGAAAGGAAAAAAAAAGATATATAAGCGAGTCACACTATAACATCCCTTTCATACAAAATCTACCTTATATAAAATTTACCTTTAATTTAAATAAATTATTACTCATTCAGTATAATTATTGCTCATTCCATATAATTATTGTTAAATTTCAATTACTACTCATTTAATTTTTTTTATTGCTAAATTTCATTATTGCTCATTTACATTATTTTATTGCTCAATGAAATATAAGTCAAAAACAATAGATTCATCATCTTTTTAATGCTCTTTTAGTCACGTATAAATCAAATGTCTTTAGATACTTCAGGCTAGACACTATTGAAATAGCTTTGTTCATGTCTAGTTAAGTATGCAAAACAGAAAATATGATGAAGTAGTACAAAAATTATCGCAAAACAACTAGAAGTATAAGATGATCTGCATAGATGAGTACATCTCTTGTATCAACAGAGTGCAAAGAGTAGTTTAACAAAGCATGTTTGTTTCTGTACTGAGTTGATCGTAGTTTGCTTGAAAATATCGAAAACTATCGAAGGAGATTAATACCGAAATGGGAAACAATTCAAAAAGCTCTTTACTCTGGTTTTCTATAGGGCCACACCGACCCTACTTATGGCTTCTGTCTAACTTTGTCCAATCGGGTTGAAATTTTTTTTGAAGATATTTTAGAGCGCATCTCAGAGGTGATTTTAAGCTTTTTCGAAAATCTCGCTTTCTTTTTTTTTTTGTGTGAAAGAAATACGTAAAGATTCGGATCGAAAACCGGAGTGTTGGCGTCCAAGGATCTATAAATTCGGATAGGAAGGTCAAAAACGAAAACGGGCGGTTTCACTTCTGAAGAATACTTCTAACTATCTGTGATTGAAATTTCAGCCTGTTCGAACGCTGTAAACAGGTCCGATGTGATCCTATGGAAAACTAGGGTTTCTGAAAGACAGCGAAAATATTGTTTAAAATTTTTTTCATCAAACAGGTATTTCCTTATTTGAGGTGCTCTATCTGGGGTAAAAATTTCATACGAATTGGTTGTACTCTCTTCAAGAACCAGAAATGGTCAAAAAACAGAGAGTGCCCTTAACAGAGAGATCATACACAGGCCAGTGTTTTGTCCTGTATGGAAACCGAGGGGACAGCATTCCTCCGAAGATTGAGTTGGTTCTTACCACATGTACTATGACTCAATGTTAGAAAAGGAACAAACATTTTGTCAAATTATATTTCCGTCATTTGTTAATTTCAAATTGTTTATTGATTAAATTTTCATTAACTTTTGTTTAAAACTTATTATATAAACATCGGTATACGAAAGTTATTCATTCCAATATTGAGAAATTATCGAAAAAAAGAATATTGTATCTCATTTATATTGATTTGATAAGAGCGAATGTGTTTATTTTTAGGACCATTCAGTTTTGCGTGAAAAACAACAGAAGCACGTGTAACACGTTAGAAAAAAAAAGAAGACTACATCACAGTTAAACTGTCTTTGAATAAAATGGAATTATTATTTCTAATTATGCTTGTGCAGCTCGATCCTCTTGTTGAGCTTTATCAAGATCATCATGAACGTTTTGTGCTTCTTCATATTCTTTTGATTGTTTTAATGTCTCATCATTTGTTGCTGCATTCTTAAAAAAAAAGTAAAAATTTTTGTTTTTTAAAGAAACTATTATTGATGTCAAGACATGAGGGAGGTCAATGTTTTTTTGAATAACTTTCGACAGTAACAATATAGAAATCTGCAAATTCCACTATTCAAAAGAGAACATCAAGAGTCATAAAACCAGCTTAGTTTTGATTGGGTCGTTCGATAGACAAAATTGTTCTCTTCAGATTCATGCAAAGCTGATATCTATAACTTATTCTATTCAAAAGTTATAAGAGTTTTCTAGAGATCCTGATTGCTATCTACTGACTTTGGAGCACTCCGAAAGGGACCAAGGTAGGGCTAATTTATCATGCTGACTATAGGGAATCTCTTCGGTTGTCCCCCCCCCCTTCCGATTTCAATGATTTTTGTCTATAGATACTATATAGTGTTCTGATAAAATCCTAAAAGGATTTCAGTTCCTATTGATATTTGACTAAGCTATTGAATTTTTAACATCTCTATTTTCTGAACTTCAAGTTTTCGAAAAACTAGGATTTTAGAATTTCGATCTGAAATTTTGTGCATAGAGAGAACTCAAGCAGACTAGCTTCCTTGAAAAATTCAGAAGTTTTGAACAAAGTCTCTTCAAGATATGATTTCAGTCTCACAACTATTTAAAACTGTTACCTCAAGATTTTTAAAATACCGACTCTCCACGATATTTGAGATTTCAAAAATCTTTAGATAACGGCTATAGATAGTTTCGAAATTGAAAATAAACATTGTCATTCGACTAAGCATGATGGATTAGTCTTGCATTGAATCCTTTCGGAGTACTGCAAGATCATAAAAACTCATCTGATTGATCAATTGCTGGATCGATCAAAATTAAACTGATTTTATGTTTCCCGATGTTCTCTTTTGAATAGTGAAATTCGCAAGTCTCTATCTTGCTATTGTCGAAAGTTATTTAAAAAAAATACCATTGACTCCCTTTATATTTTAGTGTTGATAATAATTACATAAACATTTTGAAATTCATTCCATGCTTTAATAAAACTACTTTTTGTATGCGAAATCATTGATTCAGTTTCTTTTAATACTTCTTGCTAAAAATAAAGAAAAATCAATTAAAAAAATTAAAAAAAAATTATTTTCGAAATCTACCGCTTTTCTAAGATCGTATTCATCTCGACCTTCATTTGTCATTTTTTCAACTCTACGTTTTTCATTATCACATTCTTTTTTATATGATAAATATTCTTTCCATGTTCTAAATAGAAATCAAATTTTTAATATTTTTATAATAAACTCTTCTCTCTCTCTCTCTCACCGTTTTGCGACACCAGTTTTAATTTTTAATTCTTTTAATTTATCCGTCATTGTTAAAGATTAGAAAAAAATCTAAAATAAATTAAAATTACGCATGAAATTATTCCACACCTATAAAGACAACAATCATACTAATCATATATAAATAATTACTATAACAACACAACAAAAACAAAAACAAAAACAAAATAATAATTTATATTATTGTGGAAAATGTTTGTTTCAATTCTTTTAATAACATTGTTGCAAGAACAAGTCGATCGGAATTTATTATTAAATTTACTGTTAATTCAGGAATGTTTAATTGAATTGCAATGAGTATTAATGCTTTACTTGATATTGTTTGACCAGAAAACCTATTACAAAAAAGCAAAAATATATATATGTACTCGTTGCTAAGACCTTTCACGGATAAAAACTTTAACATCGGAAAGGAAAGTGTTAACGAGTATTGAATTTATTTTAGAGACATTTATCAGAAATTAGACTATGAAAAAACAGTTCTAATTCTTTCTCGTGTCTCTAATAAACAGAAATGTTGCTTTTTTTTACAGGATAGTGTTTCCTCAATCGATAAGAAGATCGCCAAAATCTGTGACGAGTAATACATTCAGATATCAATTCTGACCGAATTTTAAATATTTGGCAACAGATTCTAAAAAGTATACAACGAACTCGCACTTCAGTTCGGGTCTGAATATTTCCGAACATTGTTAACTTTTTTCTTAGAAAGTCTGCTGTTGTTCAGTTTTGGGGTCATTTACTTCATTGTATGTAGATCTATGATAGCCAACCGTGAAAGTTTTCATTTTAATCGAGTTTTATTAATTAAATGAAAACGATTGCATTCAAGATTGAACTCGAACGTTCGGATACGATGCATGTCTAGATTCCACTATAGAATTTTGAGCTGAACTTTGATTGATAAATAGATTTCGAATTTGATGGAAAACATTAAATGGAAAGATGTATGATTTTAATATATATAACTATCTTTAGGAATAAATATGATGTGTCATTCCTTACTGTTATGTTAAACTTCTTACGAGAGAACATACTCAAGTATCGGATGATGTTCGATAGTTGAATATGTACTTTATTTAGTGTTTTTCCTCGGAGTTTCATCTCATAAGTAAAACTTCTGGAATCAAGTCTATTCCGAATTGTTTTGATTCTTACCGATAGATAGTTGAATCACCAGAACCTAATGGTACTGAAGTAACATTTGCACATTGTAATACTTTTGTTTGAATAGATGTAAAATTTAATTTTCCCATTTGTGTTTCATTAATATTAATACTATCAGTTATTTCATTCATACCACGAAGATGAGCTAAAATTATTCAATCTATATTTAAAAAAAAATAAAAAATAAAAAACATTTTTATTTTACCTAAATGTTGAGTAAATTGCTGTTCATTTAAAAATTTCTGTTCAAAAAGTTCTCCAACATGACATGATATTGATAATGGTGTTGATAATTGTCTTCCATCAAATGATATATCAAATAAAGCTGGCTGAGTTTTATCATTAAAATCAACCCCAATAGATGCAACAATTGATGCATTACTTGGTAATAAATCAATATCATTAAATCCATCAATATTAACACCAGATTTCTATATACATAGAAAAGAAAGAGAATTTTTTTAAAAATAAAATCAACGATGAAAGTCTTCCAACTGATTACTCATTTTTAAGTTGGCAGTATGTGTAATCATGTAGATCCTAATAGGTTATAAATATCCTGAAGATAGTTTGGAATCATAGATCATTATTGTCAATTAGTGATGAGTGATGAACTCTTTTCGACATATTCATAATTCATTAGGATCTACATGATGCTTTCGACTCAAAAACGATTACTCAATTGGAAAATTTCGCTTGTAAAAATAATCATAACAAACCGATTTTATAAATTTAATCGATTGAATATCTTTATTTGTTGTTGTATTTGTAAATATTAATTCAATATGAACCATATTC